TGTAGAGAGCCTTATCTAGTCCACTCCAAAACAAATCCATCAGGATTCTGTCATCCCACAATGTTAAATGACAATACTGCTGGAATTCCTCCACATATCCATTTGTCATGCTGTGAGCGCACTACTCTTCCGCTTTCACACTCCGCACAGACACTTGAATAGCGCATACTTTTCTAGGTTAACATTAGATTGAGCGGCCATGTAAAGTTGCTACTACTTACATATTTCAGATGATAAGCCATATTTGAGGTCGATGAATGATAGGCGAGCGTTTGGATGTACTGTATTACCACAAAATCCAGCCGTTAACGATCTGTCCATCACGTACTGCGTGACCTCACCACTTCCTGTGGATTTTTTTCTGCGACTAATACAATTTTGGTTGACATTCTTGTCAGCGAAAGGTTAGTCGACTATTAGGGGGCAGCCCTAGTAAAGATAGAGTCTGGGGTTGGGTTTAAGTGGACTAAATGATTGGAGTGCAGCATATGTCACCAGAGGGAAGTCAAATTAAACGTATATACATGGAAATATCGTTCACAATAAGATCAATAACATGCATTTACAGGATATTGATGAAGCTTCATTTCATGCCAACGTCTCTACTCAGCTGTTTTCAGTAGAATCATTCACAGTGTCACATTTCTGTTGTGTTTTGGTTTAGTTTCTCTGCGTTCCAGTTTGCCTGTGTTCCCTTGTTTGTTTCTATGGTTTTTGATTTGTTAATTAGTTCCACACACCTGTTCTTTTCCTCCTTAATTGCCCTGCCTTGTATTTAAGCCCTGTCTGTTCCTCAGTTCATGGTCTGCTGTTATTTGTGTTTGGATTGATTTTTCCTGTGGATTTATTATTAAAATTGCCTTTTGGATTATACTCCTTCGCCGTGCGCTTTATTATACAGCCAGCACATGTTACAGAATAGCAGACCCTCAAAACGAGTAGATATTTGTTTTGTTTCGCTCCTCTCCCTGTAAATGGACTTGCCAGCCTTACAGCGCCTATGCCTGGAGCAGTTGGACCGTTTGCTAGAGGACCACACCAGGGACTTTTTAGATCTGGCGTGCCTTACACACTACCCCAACTGCTCACTCTGTGTATTTTACATCACCAGCTTGAGTGAGCGGTGTAAGGCATGACTGCCAGCAAACGGTCCCCGAGAGGATTTTGCTGCTTTTGTGGAGTGGGTGCTTCCAATCCAAAGCCCAGCCAGCCTTCACCACATGGTTGCACGGAGCACTCGCCAGAGCCGCTGGTTCCGTCCAGCTCTCCTGCGTCTCCTAAGCTCCCTGTGACTCTTAAGATCCCACCCAGCCTCCCTCTCCTGCCTCCTCTTATGCCAGCCAGTTCCTCAGCCCTGTCTCCGCTGGTTCCTGTCAGTCCCTCAGCTCACCCTCAGTCAGCACCATCTGGGCACTCTGATCCGCCTCAGGACTTCCAGTCTCCAGTTCCGCCTAGGCATGAGAATCCCCTGTCTCTGCCTCCAGCTTCAGAGTCCTGGACTCCACCACGGTCCTTCGACCCATCGGCTCCACCTTGGCTCATTGCTCCCTCGTCTCCACCGTGGCCCATCATCCCACTGGCTCCACCGGGCTCCCTCATCTCTCTGGCTCCGCCTTGGTCAGTCGCCGACCATTCTTCGCCTCAGGATTCCACTCCTCTGGCTTCGCCTCGTCCCTCCATCCCTCTGGCTCCATCTGGCTCCTCCTTCCCTGCAGCTCCATCTTGGTCCTCTGTCGCTCTGGCTCCACCACGGTTTTCTGGTTCCCCCCCTCTGCCTCGGTTGGTGTCACCCTGGCTCTGCGGCTCTCCGTCTCCATCCTGGGCTCCTCTACCATCGGCTCTGTCTCTGTCAGTCGGCCCCATCTCCACCATGACTCCTCTCACCATCGATTCCACAGTGGGCCACTATCCTGGCTGGGCTCTGGTTCCCCACCTGGCTCCTCCTGCTCCGGGCTCCTCCCTCCATCTACTCCGCCCTGGCCTTATGAACTATGCCCCTTTCCCATTGCCTGCCCCTCACCTGCCCCCACAACTGCCTCCTGATCCCCCACCCTCCCTCCTCTGTTGGACTGCTTTTGTCTGCGTGAGGACACGCCGTTCCAGGAGGGTTCCGTTCATGTTTCTGTTGTGTTTTGGTTTGGTTTGGTTTCTCTGCGTTCATTTGCCTGTGTTTCCTTGCTTGTTTCTATGGTTTTTGATTTGTTAATTAGTTCCACACACCTGTTCTGTTTCTCCTTAATTGCCCTGTCCTTGTATTTAAGCCCTGTCTGTTCCTCAGTTCATGGTCTGCTATTATTTGTGTTTGGATTGATTTTTCCTGTGGATTTATTATTAAAATTCCCGTTTGGATTATACTCCTTCGCTGTGTGCTTTATTATACAGCCAGCACACGTTACACACAGAGACTGCCACGCTTTTTGATTGATCGGTTTACATGTCATTCATCAGACTCTTCCTGTCTGAACAGGCTGTTCTAGTCAAGAATAGGCTGTGATGTGGACCAGGGGCCTGATGTATAAACGTTGTGTACGCACAAAATGGGCATGGAAATGTGCGTAAGCAATTTTCCATGGACATATCGGGATTTATAAAAAATAAACTAGGCGTAAATATGTGCGCACCATACGGACACTCTAGGCCAGGGGTGCCCAACCCTGTTCCTGGAGATCTACCTTCCTGCAGAGTTCAGCTCCAACCCTGATCAAACACAACTGAACCAACTAATTAGGATCTGTAGGAGCACTTGATAATTACAGACAGGTGTATTTGATCAGGGTTGGAACTGAACTATGCAGGAAGGTAGATCTCCAGGAACAGGGTTGGGCACCCCTGCTCTAGACCATGCGTACGCACTCTTTTACTGGAGTGAGCGAAATAAGGAAGCAAACAGAATGATTTTAAAGTCTGTTTTACATTTGACATACACATTTAGATTAAATATGACACTCTGAATAATTAAGTTAAGCACTGAAATTTCATGAAATTATTATCCAGAAATAATTTGTATATGTATATTTGTATATGAATTTAAACATAAATATTTGCAATGGATGTGCTACTTTCGAACAATTTTCTGTGGTATGTGATTTCATGTTTTAATCACAGTGAGGATTGCTTAGCGTATGACAATTCCGCTTTAAATTGTGTTCTAAATAGCAAAATCCATTATTTGCACGAATAATGATCATTGATGTGAACTTGATTCGTCTGATGGCTTTGGAACACAGATGGTAACGACAGACATAAGGATGCGCTCGTTGATCACACAGTCCATTGGCTGGTTTGACAGGTCCGATGACAGTAGAACTGTTCACAGGTGTCGCGCACAGACTGCAGCCTAATGATAACCCCTTTCGTGCTCTTCCCAATACTGTGACAAACACCATATTTAAAAGATAGAATTTGAAGGAAACTGTAAGATATGCACATTTTATTTTCAAAACGTTTTGTTATTGACGCGGTGAGTCAGAAAGCTATTTACACTGCAAAAAAATCTTTCCATAAAAATATAGGCTATAAACATTCTAAAATATATGTTTATCTTTTAGGCAAATTGCATAGATTAGAATAGTGATGTCTCAAAACGCATTTATAGTCCGTATCTCATATTTTCCTAACGTGTTGTAGGCTACCCTTAAAACTGTGTTAAACATGGTGTCACATGGATGGAAATATGCATGGAAATGATATGCAGATGACGTTATGCATATGAAAACTAGGCGTTGTAAGCTCCATATATGGCTATTTCGGGGAGGAGACGGGGTGGAGATTCATGTACGCACAATCTTCCGCTGACTGGGTATTACAAAGGGAATTTTGTGCAGGTTCTGGCGTACGCATGGCTTTATAAATCTGAAAACTTTTGTACGTACGCAAAATCTAGCTTTTGTGAGTACGCACACATTTAGGATGAAATCTACATTAAGTTTTATACATGAGGCCCCAGATCTTTTACCAGTTAGTCAAAGGTGCTACTACATGAGACTTGTTTAATGCATGGTTCTTTCCTAAAGTAATGTGCTGTAGTTTTACTTGTTTTCTTGCTGTTTTCTGCTTATATTATGATTAATTTAACTGGCAAAAACAGCACACACACAAAGCACCAAGAGCATTTTACTGGTTAAGGCCTGAGCCATGCACTAAATCAACATGACTAAGTGTGACACTAAGAAAGATGAGGGAGTCCAGAGGATAGGTGAGGAAGCTGATATACATTAAAACAGAATACACTTCAGGCTGCATGAGGATATTACAGAGAAACACGATGGCGTACAGGAGTGCGTTTGAGACAAATACAGAAGGACATATAATTTAAAACCATACAGGAAGCTGAATAACATTGTTTTTCATTTAGAATGAAAATTAAAATGAATTGAAATGAGCATAAATTATTACAAACTGCTGCAGAAGTCATGCATCAGTCTTGAATTCTGAATATGATTTTGGCATTAAAATACAACAACCACAATGGTGATGAGTTCATTGACCTTTGTTCTCATGGCAGCTAAATGAAGGTGGTGTGATAATGCTGATATTAAAATATGTATATGAAGTCAGATCCTCATTTAGCTGAGGGAAGTACCAGAGGGACCAAAAAAAAAAAAGAGGGAAGCCAATAAACAAAGAAAAAATAATATGCTGAGTTTGGATATAGCATGTTAAATCAAAGACAACTACAACTGCTGCTCTGTCCCATGTTAATGAGCCCAGTGCTGAATGAAGGGATGAATAAATCATGGCTCAGAAAACGCATTTGAGGCTCCCGCTTTTCAGAGCCTCATGTGTATCTGTGTGTGTGTGCTGATGGATCAGCAGAGCATCGCGACGAACATCAAAGCAGCTAGACAAAAGGGATTCACTCTTATATGTTCTCCCCTTCTTAGGACTGCGTGTAACGTTATAATGACAGTGGTCTGAAAGAGAGAGAGCGAGCGTAAGGGTGAGAGAGAGAAGGGAGGGAAGGAGGCAGTCGGTACAAAGCACAGTGAGTGAGAGCCACAGTACAAAGAGCAGCGTATAAGACGATGAAGAGAGACACACAGTGAAGGTGAATGGAAGAATAAAACACGAGGGATTGTGAACAAACAGAAAAAAAAACAGCACATGTCGAGGGAACTGGAGTCACACCGAGGCAGCTGAGTCTGGCTCACAATGAAAAGGATCCATTGCGGACTGCAGGCAGGAGCTGTGTGAATGGAAGAGACTGTAGATTTGTAGATAGCGGAGACAGAAGTGCAGGGAATGGTTGGGCTGCATGGGCTCTGTTGTTGGCATCGTTGCTGCTGTCCTACTCTGCTGCTGCTACCCTTCCCCCTGCGCGCTGAACCAGTTCAGCACGTACAGATATGAGCTCCAAACACTCATCTGACTGGATCCCTTACAGGTACATCTGTTTGTTGGTGAGAGAGTGAGCATGTATGTTTGGTTGGAGAGGATAGGTGTCTTTGATGGGGGAAATAGGATGATGAATGGATAATGAGTGGCTCGCTGACAGGGCTGCAAAAGTGATTCTCTCATCCTTGTCTTTAATCTGTTGTATACTCTCATGTTTCTCATGCTGCTAGTTGAGCGCTCAGAGCTAGTTTGTGAGTGTCTGGTTGTGTAGTTGCTGCTGAGGTTTTGTTTATATCAGCTGGTCTGAAAATTAAATCTATTGCAGGGCTCAACAATAAATATGGCCCTTCCTGAGCCAGTTGACGTAACTGTCACTGCTGCATTGTCACTATACCTTGTCTGTCAATGTTATGGCTCTATTTATGCTGTTTGTGTTTTTATGCTTTGAGAACTTTTAGAACTATAACTGGCTACCATAGATGCGATTTTTTAAAGATATATTTATAATTTGTGAGTTCACAACTTTCCTAACTAAAAAAATAAAAAAATACCATACACAATAAAAAAGCATTTCAATCATGCATATGTAAAACATGAGTTACAATGGGTAATGTTGCAGTAATGTTTTGCACTACATTTATTCTGATTTATTTAATAATAATTAAGGCTGCTGCATTTATTTGATCAAAAATATCTATCTATCTATCTATCTATCTATCTATCTATCTATCTATCTATCTATCTATCTATCTATCTATCTATCTATCACTATCAAGTTCACCTTCACTGTGTGTCTCTCGTCATCGTCTTATACGCTGCTCTTTTTAAATAGTAATATAGCCATGCTTTTGATTTATGTTTACTGTTGGAGGCATGTCTGCTGCTGCTTCTTATAGGAGCCTCATTGCCTCACTGCACTGCCTCTGCTCTCTCATTGGCTCTTGGTTGCTATAAGTTACAAGCCCACTTTCCTCCACTCTTTCGTTGGAAGATTACATCAGGGAGCACTTGCTGCTTGTTGCAAAGAGCCTAAAGGTACCGCTCGACCTACCCTGGAGGGTCTAAGACGGTCTCTAATGGAAGTGTGTTTTTATTGTGAAGATCTGCCCTCTCCCACACCCCAGTTTCTTGTGTGTGAGGTCCATGATTGTGACCTGAATGGATCGTAGAAATCTAATGAGCTTTGGCACTTGAGGAGCTCAAGGGAACCGTAATGGAAAGAGAAGCATACATGAGTCATTTGTTTTAAATAAACCTGTAGAAAAGAAAATCATAAATTATATCTCTCACTTGTTTGTTGTAGTCAGTAGTGGGATTGAAAGGAGGGTGATTTGAACCTTTAGAAAATTCTTCCATAATTTACTATAATTTTCTGTTGTTCAAAACCTGTAAGACCTTTTTCTGCAGAACAGAAAATAATATTTTTAATGAAAGCAATGCAGTCCAATGTTATCACTGGGATCCAAATATCATCTTCAGTGTCCCACAGAAAATAGAAATTCATACAGCTTTGGAATGTCATGAGGGTGTGTATATTTTTTGGGAGAATATGCCTAGTAGGACAATAGTAATCACATATGTGCCTCCTTGAGAGATCTCAACATCTCAAACCGTTCTATCCATCTATAGTTCTTTGCTAACATACTGAAATCTGCAATTAATCATCCAATAACTCCATCAAGTTTCCTTGGGCATGAAAGAGCAACCTATGAGCAATAGCTTTTTTTCTCTGGAATGTTCTTTGTTGTTTGTCACTAGTGTTTCTTAAGGTTTATAAAAGTATTTTGATGGATGTTTTTCTATAATACCACTGATCAATCTTTTGTATTTAGTTAGGAATTGGGCAGAGATTTGCCTTGCAAAAGGCTGATCTCATAGATAAAACACTTACATATTGTACACTAGAGCTGTGGTTGAACAGTTGAATTACTCATATGTGAATTTCAGGCAATGATTTCCATCCAAAAAGAAAGTAGGTCAATAATTAGAGAAGCAGCAGTTGGGTGATTTTCAATTAAGTGCCTTGCTTTCAGGCAGACTGGTAATGCAGCAAGATCTGGATCTCTGCCTTTGTGATGGTAGTCAATATTCTTATGTTTGACACCCCCTACATTACTTAGTCTTAAGGACTAGGGAAACAAACGGCAGTGAGCACAGGCAGCGAATGTGTCCTTCTCTAATGTCTCCCTCAGTCAGCAGAGCCGTTGGGCCCTTCATGGCTTTTTTTCTTGGTGTGATGAGCATCTCCTCCCCTGCAGATGGGGCTTGCTATGAAAAATGTATTGAGCTTAGAGATCACATTGGTGTAGCTGATGTTGCCTTAGCTGGACCTTCTGCATCACAAACACTAATTTCACAGCCTTGGCTAGTTTATTAGAGAGCCAGTGTGCTCTGGTAGGTCACAGACCTACAAACAAACACACACATACACAGAGCTCGCTGGGGGTTAAGGGCCTTGTTATTCACAAACATGGAAAGATGAGTACCATTGCCTGCTTTCCATTTGAACATTATGTACTAGTGTGCACATACATAAACGCATGTTGTTTTTTATACTGCCACAGTCTGTCAGAATCTTGGCCTGATCAGTCAAATGTCCTCTAAAAAAAAAAAAAAAAAAAGGTTACACATTTAAGTATATGGACCAATTCTCACTATTACCTAGCTGCTTATTAGCATGCCTATTATTAACATATTGGCTGTTTATTAGTACTTATAAAGCACATATTCTGCATGACCATATTCTACATCCCTATTCCTATCCAATACCTAAACTTAACAACTACCTTACTAACTATTAATAAGCAGCAAATTAGGAGTTTATTGAGTCAAAAATCATGGTTAATAGTTTGTTAATTGTGAGAATTAGACCTTAAAATAAAGTGTGACCAAATAAAAGGGTAAATTAGTAAGCAGATATGTAAATTATGATGTTAAATTCTGAAAAAAGTTTGAATCCAGTGTTTGAATCTTTAAAAAAAAAAATTTTATTCTGTGATGGAAACTGGCTTCCATAATAGATAGATGGATAGTTTCAAGTTTACTTTTTTTCCACAGTCAAAAATGTCCTTGGATACACTGAAAAAATGTTCAAAAAACAGTTTGAGGCAATTTTCCAGAGTCTTGATCCATGTAGAGTTTCTGTTTTGCTGTTGTTTCCTGTGACACACTCAGTGAATTGCAGCAGCTAGTTGTGAAAAGACCGAATCAAAATAAGAGTCTCATTGCTGGCGGAAAGCGCTGAGAAAGAAAGATGTGGCGCTAAGAAAGAAAAGACATGCATAACTCTATAGAAATTCTTTAAAGCTATCTCGAAAGTGTGACTGACCTTTATTCTTGAACTGTGCAGCAGAGTAGTGTAAAGAAATACACAATCATCCCTACTGCTTAAAGGGAAAAAAGTATTCTGTTATCACTTACTCTCAAAATAAATTTTTTCTCCATGCAATATAAAAGAAGCAAAAGAAAAGTGAACTTAATTTAAGATCTATTCTCTAAAAACAGGCCTTGTCTGATGTCTTATGCAGTTTTACTTCTTGAGTTAATTTAGTGAATCTTTTTTTAAAGATATTTTTGCTGGAATACAAAACAAAAATTAGTATTATTTTTTAGAGAATGCTTTCAATGCTTGAACATTCTTGTGGGTCATAGCTTGTTTTGTTTTGTTTTTAAACAAAACATTTTCTGTTTCTTTAGTGCATTGTATTTGTTTTTATGAGAATTTGCAGTTAAATGTACTGCATGCAAATCCAGAAATGTTATTTTCTAATTTTATTACACACACATAGAGTTAAACACCCACATGCATACACACACACACACACACACACACACACACACACAATGACACACAAAGTGAATTGTCACTGTCATCAGTGAAGCTTGATGGTGAGGGAGAGAAATTCTACCGCACATTGCAGGCAGCTGTCAGAACATATCAGTTTATCTCTCATCCCTTGTTGAACCTTATTAAATCCGCTCTGTTTATGTCATTATCTGACAATCTGATGGGAACTGACACCCTTGACTGCTAACATTAGGCACTATGCTTTGTGCGTGTGTGCATATATGTATTTTAACTTTAGAAGGGAGTTCATGAATGTGTGCAAATAAGCATGACTATTTCTGTATCTCGAGGTTTGAGGTAAGTGTGTCAGTTACCAGAATAGGTGTCAGTATTTCTGAATGAGTGTGTTCGTGGGCAAGTATCTTCGTGCCCATGTGCATGTGTGATAAAAATGGTGTCAGTGTTGGCAGTCCATAGAGAGTGAGATTTCTCAGGTTTAAATAGAAAAGTAGAGACTCTAAGTTCTTTGCAGCTAGGCACTGGAATATCCATCCGAGCAAGAGAGGAAGAAAGACACTACTATAATCCTCCTGAAAAGACAAGCTTAGAGCAACATGAATTTCCGTGTTGATCCAGACTTGTTGTTAGTACTGGTTTGGCTATGAAACATTTTATAACTACGTCTGTCTTTCTCTCTGTGTGCCTCTCGTTCTCTCTGTGTGTCTTTTAGTGCTGCACGATTAATCGTTAAAAGATCATGATACTGACCATGCAATCTTATTCCTAAATGATAATGATTCAGCTATGTCTATTACGCTTGTTTCACATGGCAAGCAACAGAGTGTGAACATATTTTGTTGCTGTTCATGTTGATGAATGAGGGTTGGCCGTCACACTTCCGATGTGAACACTCATTCACTAATATGGGCAGCAACACGCACTGCTCACGCTCCGTTGTCACTTGCGATTGTGAAACTGGCAAAGACTTATCTATCAACTGTAGGGATAATGTAAGTATACCTTTGAAAGTTGGATCATCACAATGCAACATTCAAATTTGCATTCACACATACCGCTGATCCGGAGAGAGCAGCAAAGAAGAAACAAGTCTTGATGAATGAGACACGTCATTAGTAACTCCTGCATACAAATAATTTTTTCAATTCTTTTGTTCAAATTTATATATATATATTAGGGGTGTCCCCAACTAAGGATTTTCATAGTCGAATCAGAATTTTCGAATCTTGCCGATATTCGACTGAGAGTCGAATCATATGTTTTGGGGGCGGGGCAAAATACATCACCAAGAGTCAAGTCAGACATTCGACAGTTGTTAATCAATTAACGTTAACTAATTAACAATTACGTTAACACACAGGGAAAATGTGTAACGGACACCTCGCAGATACAAACGGGGTAAATAATGTTTTATGTTTTGATTAAAAGATAGTTAACATTAAATGTCAGCGAAACCCTAAGAATTCACAAAATTTTTTACAATAGTACTCTCATTATAACGTTATGTATATGACAGTAGTTATTAATGTGCTGCATTTCTGGTTTGAGCTGCGCGCACTGAAGATGCCCACTGGCCTCTGATCATCATGGCCTCCTAACAATCCCCATATCTGCTGATTGGCTTCATCACTCTGTCTCCTCTCCACTAATAAGCTGGTGTGTGGTGGGCGTTCTGGCGCACTATGGCTGCCGTCGCATCATCCAGGTGTATGCTGCACACTGGTTTTGGATGAGGAGATACCCCCTGACAATGTAAAGCGCTTTGAGTGCCTAGAGAAGCGCTATATAAATGTAATTAATTATTATTATTATTATTATTATTATTATTATTATTATTATTATTATTATTATTATTATTATTATTATTATTATTATTATTATTATTATTATTATTATTATTATTATTATTATTATTATTATTATTATTATTATTATTATTATTATTATTATTAAATCTATAGGGGTGGTTGGATTTATTCATGCACGTTAAAATATTTATTTGAAGCTTCTTTCTTTTCAGATTCTTATTTACAGCATTATTTTAATAGGCTGTATATTAACTTATTGGGAGAAAACCAGTAGTTCTATGTGAAATCAAACATTTGAGCACCCCCATATAGCCAAAATGGCATGATCATAACACCCTGCAAATATTCGACTGTGAGATTGGTAGTTGAATCAGACTCCTCCTATCGAAGCATCGAATCTTCGACTATTCGGGGTCACCCCTAATATATCTATCTATCTATCTATCTATCTATCTATCTATCTATCTATCTGTCTGTCTGTCTTTTTATCGTTCTATCAGTCGTTCTATCTATTGTTCTGTCTGCCATTTTATTTGTCTAAATACTTATAAAAATGAGAGCGTCTTATTAGCATGTTTGTTTGTGTTTAGTAAATGCCCGTGGTGTTCTGAACCGCTATAAATCTTTTTTAATGATTTCTTTATTGTCTAATGACATCCAGAGGGGAGCCAAATCAACACGGATAGCAAAGATAACAGAATTCTTGATTTCTTTACAGTATTTGTAACTGGGCATGGGTTCCTATCAAATGTTAGAACCAGCACCCTGGTTGTGCTGTACAGATTATACAGCACAAATCCTTTTCCACACCACCCTTGATCTGTCACACTTCTTCTCTCCGCATGACCCACCACAGCCACAGAGGAAGCCCTCCATTGCCATTTAATTAACACAGCTTTTGGTTCAGCAATAACAGGCAGCAGAAATGCATAAGGAGGTCTGGAGTTAATGTGTTATAGCTGATTAAAGAGAATGAGAGGAGGGACAGGCAGAGCACAAAAGCCTCACCAAAGACCTCTCTCCTCACAGGACCTGAAAGAGCACAATGAGTCATAGGCAAGATCAACACAGCAGGGCTGTCTGTGTCATGTAAAAAATGATGTTCATACGTACTATTTATATACTGTTCTGCCTATATTTTAGGTTTAATGACTAGTAAAAAAGAGCGACTGGTGTGATTCGTTTATATGATAATACCGGAGTTGCTTTTTCAATAATGTATGAGCTAAGATATGCTGAATACTGATGTCATATCCTGTGCAGCAGAGGTTTTAGTGGAAGACATGAACAGTAAGGACTTGCATCTGTAAAGAGCACCTTTTGTTAAATCATTGATAGGTTACATTTTTCTTTTACTGTATGCTTCTCTTGACACTGGACCATCTTTGTATACACAAAAGGACCTCTAGTAAGTTTCATCTCTGTTGGCGCTACTCTCACTGTGGCACATCTTTTTTGTGAGGTTTCCCCACTAATCTTGTCTTTGTCCTCCTGCAGCACCTTGGATGATGAAGGCACGAACCTACGACAACAGAAGCTGGACAGACAGGTGAGTCTTCCTTTGGTTTCTTTTCAGCACTGTGTACAGAAGGCTCTGCTCAAAGGAAATGAGATAAATTGAAAAAGAATGAACAAAAGGAAAACAGGTAGAAACAGATCAATGAGAGAGAAACCGTTTATTGAGGAGTCACGTCACGGAAACATATTCTCAAGACAGTTTAAAGAAAATGGCTTTGATAAGAGTCCATATGCCAGCAGTCCCTTTGCCTTACGTTATGTGCTGTTACTTCAATAGACTTGCCCCAGATAGCTTTGAAAACTTATGCCAAGATTGATTCAGTTAGCCAGACTCGTTCCTCTGTGGTCTTCATTAGCCTTGTGGTTTGCATTTGGTATGCTGATAATCCTTTGTTATTTAACACACTAGACTCTAAGAACAGCAGATGGGTTCCTTGGAAAACTTCACAAAGTTTTTGGACAGTCCATTTTTATTTACTCTGTGAGTTAGTTATTCTTTGCCACAAGCATATAATTTTCCTCAAATTTCTTTAGAAGGGCTTTTTAGACAAAATGTGGCTTTAGGCATAATGTACAGACAGTTTGAATTAAACCCTGACCAGGAGCAGTGCAAAATACTGAAGGAATGTAGGAATTTAGGAAGGTTTTTTTGGTTTGTTTTTTTTGCAGTGACTAGCTGACTGTACAATATCCTGCTCTTTACAAATAAATAAATACTTGGACATACAATTTTCATACAAGTTGAAAGTATTTAAATATATTTTTTGTAGATTTGCTTGAACCTTAAACTAAGAAAAATAGTCCATTACAGCATACAGTTTTAAACAGTCAACCTAGCAACAAGATGAACACTGCAACAATACTACAAATTATTTTATTTTATTAATGATCTGAATTATTATTAAGCTGCTTTGTATAGACTAGTTAGCTAACATATTTAGCTGTGCCTTCCACTGTGCTGACTTCTTTATTTGTGTCTCACATTGGTTTATTGTTTTTCCAACCATAGTTGTTGTTTTTTTGCTTAGCTTTATACTCACCACATACAATACAATTCAAAAGTTTGGGGTTGTTAGGATTGTTTTTATGTTTTTGAAAGACGTCTTTTTTATTTATATCAAAAGTACAATATGGTTACATTTTTTACAATTTAAATAACTTTTATATTTTAATATATGTTAACATGTCATTTGTTTCTATAATGGCAAAGCCAAAACCCTAACACAAATGGCAAAAGTCATTTTTACTACACTGAGGAGTAAGCCATTTTTTTCTTTCAGAAATTGAATTTCATAATTTAACATGATTATTATGAGATGTAGTTCATAATTCAACGTGATTAGAAATTAATCTTGAAATACTAGTGACAGCCAGTAAAATAATTGCAAGTAGCAGTATCAAGATCAGGGTATCTGGGGTATTCATACAGATTTAGTTGGTTTGCTTTCAAATTTCAGACAGATATAAAAAGATTTAGTGACGTATTCTCAAAGTATCAGAATTACAAAGCTGGGACAGATTTAGGGTGTTAGAGGAGACAGAAAGAGCATCCGCCTCAGTCTTGAAGCCTTTTTTCAGAGAAAACTGACAGCCCAGAATTTTTAGTCTGTCAAAGTCCTTCCTCTCTTCAGCTGTCCAAAAAGTCTAGAGGTGGGCTGTAGATGGGAGATAGAATTTTAATGAGCTGCGAACATTAGGAACGCAAACCTTCGTGTTCCTTGCCTCTGCAGTGGGGGAGTTTGGAGGATATCTCCTCGAGGGTGCTTTGCATCTGTTTGTCTGCTGTTGTGTTGTAAACACCAGAGGTTTCTGCAGCTGGATAGGGAGACACACATAATTTGCTCCAAATCTCAACTCAAGCCAATAGGTTTAGCCCACAGCACTCGGCTGTTCTTTAATGAACCTCCCACACTCTTCACAAGACCATGAGACCAAATTACCATCTTTATTGCCTGTCTGCTTTGCATAATAACCTTGAAGGAGCCAAGCCTGAAATTGTTGAGCATCACCTTAACCAGCCTCTTTGTGCTCTCTATGGCCTCAGGAGTCTTTGACCACTGCATTTCAATGAATTTTAAGGTGCTGCATGAGCACATATTCCGAGCAATCTCTTTTAATGATGCTGAAAATGTTATGGTTTATTTGGCAGCACTGTTTAGCATCAGCTCTGAGAACAGTGGAGAGCACAGACGGCGAACATGTTTAGGCAATGTGTTCGCAGATAAACAACTTTTTATTAGAACATCAATATGGAGATATGTGCGCACTGCACAAAGGCATGTTTCCCCAAGCAACAAGGTTCCGCCAATAGAACGAGCTTTGTATAGAAGCCCCTCGGGAGATGCAATCTTGTAGGAACATGAAGCATTATTAAAAACACAGGAATTCAGTGTCTCTGCTTAAGGATGACACATTTTAGAGCCAAACCAAATCATAGGATTCAAATCAAAGGATTTTCGCTTTTGTTTTAATGCTATCTCTATGATATTATGAAAAGAAGACTGTGTATTGACACATATTGCATAAATCGGTTTGATTCCGATTCACAAACTCTTGATTTGATTTGATTCTGATTTTGATTTGTTTGGATATATATAAGGTACAGTGCATGTCAATTTTTCTTTAAAGGGGTCATATGATGCGATTTCAATTTTTCCTTTCTCTTTGGAGTGTTACAAGCTCTTGGTGCATAAAGAAGATCTGTAAAGTTACAAAGACTAAAGTCTCAAATCCAAAGAGATATTCTTTATAAAAGTTAAGAGTCAACCACACCTACCTAAAACGTCTCATTCTAACACGCCCCCACATGACTACGTCACGATGTGGGAAGATTTGCATAACGCCGCCCAAATGTTCACACAAAGAAAGAAGGCGGAACTTTTATTCTTGCTGTTGCTGCCGCTGCCATGTTGTGGAGTCGCTGTGTGTTTCGTTGTGAAAGCAAAACTACTTTGTTTGGCCTTCCAAAAGAGGACACGACTAGAAATCAGTGGTTACGTTGTATTTATAACACTATTCCAGAACAGTTCAACCCAAATATTCAGATGTGTGCTGCGCATTTTATGGAGGATGGATGAGGACTGTTTCCTGAACCAGTAGCCTAATGCGTCTGTGGCACAAAGGCTGTTTCTATAAAATTGGGCAGTTCCAATGGACAGTCTGCAAGGACAGTCTGGCGCTTTTGACTCACAGCCTGTAAGTACGTTTTTTATATTTAAATAATTTGGCAATGATGATTCAAACGCGAGTTTTGAGCAGTGTAGATTAGGCTTGTTGTTTGTTGTTTCTCCGATCACTAATGCAGACATGGTTTTATGTTTACGCGGCATGATGCAACGTAAAAACACAGTATAAGTCATTATAATCCGCAATTATGTCCCCACTGGATGCAACAAATGCCTCGTTTGTAATGGGTTTTATTGGTTTTGTCTCGTCTAGTGATGTCTGGATCGCGAACGAGTCGTTCTAATTAACCGGTCAAACCAGTTCACCAAATCGAACTGAATCATTTGAAACGGTTTGCGTCTCCAGTACGCACTAATCCACAAATTACTTAAGTTATTCAGTTTATAAACGTGCCTGACACTCCCTCTGATGCGAAATAAACCAATATCCCCGAGTTATTCAGTTACTCCTAACAGTACATTGACTGAACTGCTAAAAGAGAACCAATGATGGGATGGCCACGAGCAGAGCAGCTGGACTGAGTCTCGTCCTGCTGGGAGACGGCATCACAATATGGTAAGGGGCGTAACATTTCCGTCACACGCTTGAGGTATTCAGCCAATCACAACACACTGGATAGCTGGCCAATCAGCATACACCTTGCTTTTCAGACGATGAGCTTTGTAAAAATCGACGCGTTTCAGAAAGGTGGGGCATAGAGGAGAAACAATAATGTACATTATATGGAAAATAATGTTTTTTTTAACCTTAAACCGCATAAACACATTGCATTACACCAAATACACAAGATAATGTTCTTTTTAGCAACGTCATATGACTCCTTTAATGAAAACAATCTCTCATTACTGTGCATTACTATAGTGTTAAAGGTAAAGATTAACCAAATTCATGGCTATTTATTTATTTTTTAGATATAATGATCTACACTCAAATAAAACAAGAGTTGTGTTCAATCGTTTAAATTGCATATAATCCAGTTTTATGTAAACTTTTTAAGGATATAATTGTTTCAACATTCTACAATGTACATTTAAGCTCATTTTCACTCATTTATATTCAAACATAGCTACACTGTAAAGTATTTTCCAAAGTTGCAAATAAAACAATTATTGGGGTACATTTTACAAGAAAATTCTATTTCAGTCTTATTACTTCAAAATTTCGTGTTTAAGTCACGTTTATTATTATTTGCAATTTATTTGTGAAATTTACTGCCAATTTCTGAGTGAAATGTTTCTACACTGATTTTTTTCCAGTATACAATAAATAAGACATCACTAACAAGTAAAAATATAATGAATATTTAATATAGGGTTTTTATTTATCAAACCTCTCCTCTCTCTAGATTTTTCTAGTTTACTAATGAGCATTAGAAATTGAATGGCTTTCCTAAAGGTAAAACCTTTTATTGTTTTGGTGATATTTATTGAATATCACACACAAAGCACAAAGCATAGTCAGGGGTGTGTTTAGAGTTTTGGGGGCCCTAAGCAAGTGGTACCTGGGGGTCCCCCTTGGTAGAAATTGCATTCCGCAGGGGCCCCATGCAATTGCGTGATGCCTAAACATGCTACTGAGCTTAGTGTGATTATTAGATGGGAGACATGCTGCAAATAATGTTTAGTAAAGTTGTGTTAATGCGTCATCAGAAAACAGCACAGACAAAAATAACATTATTGTAATTTAGAAAATGTATATTGGTTCATCAAAATGAAGATTGATTAAAATTGATTCATTGATATTGTTAACCCAGCACTAATGAAAATTAAGAAAAGGCTTAATATATGGATTTTTATAGCAGCTGCTGGTGTGTTTCTGCTTGCATAATCCGTGGTAATAGGTTCCTTTCTCTCTTAAGGATTTTCTATTTGCACACCCACCAGCTAGCACAGGGGAGGGTGTTTTTCTGCCTGACTGGACAGACCTGCTGCTGGTCTCAAGCCCACTATACGCACAAGGATTCCTTTAATGTTTAATAGACTCCAGCACTGGGATCTCCCCAGAACTCTTGGCTATAGCTGCACTGTAAAAAATAAGTGTAATTTTAACTGTACAATTTTTTAAAAACAAAAAAAATGTTAATAGGTTAACAGTAAGTTCCCGTACTATATACAGGGAAAAACTGTCAAATATCTAACCAGATATTTCATGTTATTTTACAGTAAAATAAAAAGTAAAAATAACAAATCAATGTATAATTTACAGTAAAAAAACGGTAAACTGATATTCCCAGAATTCCCTGCGTGACACTCCACATTTGAGTATTTTGTTTAAATAATCATGTTTTTTTAATAGTTTTTGATATTAATTATGTATATTTGGGCTTTATGTTACATCTTCTGTTGTTTAATGAAAGTTTAATGCATTATTTAAGTATCGTGTGTTACCATGATGGTGTTTAGTGTTTGCATGAATGACTCTGTGCGCCTTCTATATATTAGTATATACTTCTGCTTGTGGCGAAGCTACTTGTGATGAGCTTTGATTCTTCATGTGGTTTTCTCTTTTACCACCTGCATTATTATGGTGGTTGTCAGTATGTTAAAGGTACAAAACAGATTTTAATAGCAGTGTGCATTGTTGAATTTACTGGTTTACATTCAAATTTTCTTGTTTGGAAATTACAGTTTTATACTGTAAAAAGCTTTTGGCCGTAAATGTGTTTACAGTTTTTCTGTATTTTTTTACAAAATTATTCTGGCAACCACAGCTGCCAAAATTATTTAGTAAAAACTACAGAATTTTGTTTACAGTGTGTACATAATGTCAGGTTGCTGCGAAAGTGAAGAATGTTGTGTGGGGAAGCCCATGCTGGGATGAACATGCAGTCATGTGTGAAGGGAAGGCATTGTTGTATGACTGGTTTTAGCTCTAGGACATTGAAAGTTTTATGAAGAAGCGACACAGTCTGTGCGTTCCAAGTGGTTCTTTATGTGGCTCCGTTCCATTGTTGTTGAAACGCAAACGTTTCCAAGGTTTAAACATTATTTCAGTGCTTTTTTTCTGACTTAGTTACTTATTCTTTTCATTGATGAACCTCATTCATTGATGGAGAGGAGAACCACTGCTTAAAATATGTTTTTACTTTGTGAAGAATTTCATGTCTTCATTAGAGCAAATGTCTAAGAGTGACTTGTCAGACTACTTGAGGTCAGTTAGACCTCATCAGAGATTTGTTAAGGTTAAATTACAGAATGGAAATCTCTTCAGTGCTGTTAGTCATAGAGCTTTGGTTGAGCGGTTGAGAAAGATAACTTGTTTAGTCGTCTTAGCCCTTTTTAGATATATGTTAATGTTTTTGAAAGAAGTCTCCTGCTCACTGAGGCTGCATTTATTTGACCAAAAATACAGTTAAACAGTAATATTGTGAATTAATACAATTTGAAATAACTTTTCTATTTTAAAATATGTTACATTTATTCCTGTTATGGCAAAGCAAAGTTTTCAGCAGCCATTTCTCCAGTATTCAGAGTCACATGATCCTTCAGAAATCATTTTAATATGCTGAAACATTTCTTCTAATTATCATTGTTAAAAACCCGTTGTGCTGCATAATATTCAGTGTTGAGTAGAAAGTTCAAAGGAACAGCATTTATTTGAAATAGAAATCTTTTGTCACATTATAACTGTCTTTACTGTCATCTTTGATCAGTTTAATGGTCGTGTGTGTGGTGTAAGTTTTTATGTCATATATATGCAACTAATCCATCTTTTATTCATATTTTTTTTTATACAATGGATATTCAAATGAATTACTGCAATGCAGAATATTATGACTTACATAAAGAGTAATAGAGAATAGCAAAATTAATTACACAAGCATTCAGTATATGATTATTATTAAGATTTCTTTAGCTTATCAGTTGTTTAGGCTTTCAGAAAATGCTGCAGATGCTTTTCACATCCGTGCACAGCAGTATCCTTCTGCGATTACGTTTTTGATATTGAAAGAAATGTATTATTTATATAGAAAGATTACAAAGGAATGCATCCCTGAGGTTAAAACTTGCAGTGCATCCTGTCCTCATCTCTAGCTCTATTTTTTTTGCAAATAATCTCTTTAGAAGATGCATATAAACTGTGGCAGAAGCACAGAAGTACAGAAGCTTTGCCATGTACAATGAAGAATGTTCATTAATAAAAATACTTGCTGTAATACAACAGTAATTTTGGGCAGCGTTTTGTTACGTCTTGGGGCTGCTTTTTTATTTATTTTTTTGCCGGGGAAGATGGGATTTAAACTGCAACTACTAGAGGCAGTTCTCTCAGAAATAAATATATTTTGTGCCAGTTACTTGTTCCCACATTTCACTTTAGTATTTCTTTCATGTCAGACGTATGCTTAAAGAAAAAACAGATGAAGTTACGTGTAGTCATTGATTGATTTTCTCTTCACACTGTGCCATGTAGCACAAGTACTGTAAATCTCAAAGCTGTTTTGCAATACTATACTGTAATGTTTGGCTGTACACTGACTCCACACTAACGATCACGTGTATGTGTCTGTTAATGTGTGTTTGTAGCGAGCTTTATTGGAACAGAAGCAGAAAAAGAAACGTCAGGAGCCCCTGATGGTGCAGTCTAATCTGGACGGGCGCTCTCGAGTGCGCAGGACCCGGCAGTCAGAAGAACAGGCTCCCCTTGTGGAGAGCTACCTCAGCGGCAACAGCAGCACCATCTACCACGGTACAAAAAAAAAAAAACTCTCTCATAATATTTCAAATAACCATAATGCCACAGAGACTCAAGGGTCACGTTCACTCTTGAGGGCATGAGACGTTATTCCAAGCTGTCATTACGCTGACATGCCAATATCGACCCAAGCTGCTCAAACAGAGTGGTTCACAAAGGCTGGTGATTGAAAATGGAAATGCTTGTTTGCTGATTGTTCGGCAAACAATGCTGCCATTCTTCACACTGCCAGCAGTACTGGCTTGAGTTACACTATTGATCTCTGTCCCAGACTGCTCAGTGCTAGATAAACTCTTCCTACAATGTCAGTGCAGACCTCAATCATCTATATTAAAACATTTGCTAGTGTCAGGGGTCTTTCCTCTGAGCTATGAGAAGCCTTTTCTTTATTTTGGCATTATGGCTACCTTGTTTGTATTACATACCTTGTTAGTTTAAAGCCTTTTGCACCAGTCTTATTTTACTATTATTTATATAATATTAATGTAGTGTTTAATATTTTGAATTAACTTCTAATTCTAATATTATTTTTTATATTATCAGTTTTAATTTAAGTTTTGTAATTTTTATGAGAACTAAAACTTTTGTTTTATTTCAGTTAGCTGTCAGGGCTTTTTATTTTAATTTTTAATAGTTTTTTTTGTTTTAGTTAACAGTAACAGCACTGCTGTGCATACTGTAAGCAGTCTTTGAATGCTTATTATGACATGCCGATTAATTTGATGAAGTTCTGACTGTGTAAGAAATGTAGGGTCACATTCCTGCAGTGTGACCGATCCTGCGACCTCCGAAGAATCAGTAGAAGTTTTTCCTTAGTTTTTTACAGATGTTACATTTTTTCAGTTTTCACGATGCCACACATTCTGTCGATAGAGTTTAACTGGTATTGAAACCAGAACATTCCCGTAAATTATCATTCAGTTGATGCTGATCATTTGACACCTGTGCTGTGGGACTGTTATATTCCTCACAGGCTTGTGTCATTATTAAAGATAGGAATGTCTGTTGATACTAGCGGTATACAGTATTATGAATAATTTACAGTGTTTCCCTCAGTGTTGTGCTGTCTCATTAAAGAGTGAGCACCTTTGGCGCTCATCCTGCATGAGCTTTAGTGAATTGTAACTGTAGTTGATTATGCTGTGCATATTATTTCCTTCTTTGTACATTTGTGTTTGTCAGCCCTATTGGATGATAAGAAGTGGCATGTATACCTCATAAGGTGCATTTGCACAGAATATTTTGCTGCTCAACGTACAGTAAATGCATTTACACACAAATCAGAATTGCAGAAGCAATGTTATTGCATAAAATGATAATTGAAATATGAAATTATAAATAAAAATCTGAAATTATTATTAACTGGATTAAAATGTCATAATTTTGTCATATCCAGTTCTATGAAAGCTCAATTACAGGCCTTTGTGTAATTATCAGGTTTGGAAATTTGTGTGAATGAGACAATAATGATACAATATAATTTCTAATTTAATGATATAATAACCGGGCAGTACTATTGATCAACTTTCTCACGCTTTATGGTTATAATCTTGGAAAAAACGACACCTTCCTTCAGGGATGCAGGAAGTAGGGGTGCTGAGGGGGCTGCAGCACCCCCTGTTTTCACATGGTTGCAAATGCAACGCCAAGTTTGTTCATTTAAATTTATTCAGTTTTAGCATTTAATAATTTATTTGTAATGATCTCTGAAATGTCAATTGTAAGTGGGCTATAATAAACCCATGTTTATCTTTATAAACATGATTAATTTTACCTGTGATGTTTTCTATATGGGATGATTAGCCTAATCCTCATGAACACGTGACGCTACCCCCCACCCCCCCCAACACGGACACACAGCACCCCCAACCGAAAACATCTTTCCGCACCCCTGCCTTGCTTCAGTGTTTGCTTGAACATTTCTTTACATCATTGTGTCTTAATTGTGGATTTTATTTCACTTATTAAGCTTTAATAATGATTAGGCCCTATCATTTAAATGACAACAACAACAACGTTTAAGGGTTTCATTGCATCTTTATGCAGAATTTGGGGCAGATACAGAGCCTGAACAGAGCAGCTTTTACTCACCTGTGAATTGACGCCTTCAGTCTCTCAAAGCATGAGTAACAAAAAGTAACTTCATTGTTTAACTCTGCGTCACTCTCTCTTTTCAAAAATAGCAAGTCAATGTCTCTGTGGTTTCTTTCCATAACTAAACCATTGATCACCTATCTCTCATTCTGACAGGCTTGTCTCTTTATGCCTTTCAGTGGTAGTGATGTACTGTAGCTATTGACAAGCTTCTAACTGACAGTGATATGCACTTTCATGAGTGCATAGACTCCTGTATCCTCCCAGATCTGTTGCTTGAAGGAAGCTCAGCAGTTCACGTCCTTGAAGGACAGTTAAAAGAAGCAGACTGTGAGAGGGAATGAATTGTGCCTCAAAGCTTTGATTTCACAGTTGTTCTGACAGCCACTGAAACCCCTTCAATTAAAATTGCATCCAGGGGTGTACGGGAGCAGTGGAATATTTATTATCATTATTATTATTTTTTGTGCTTGTAGCCATCTTCTGTGTGTAAGCTTTGTTTCTGATTTGTGTCTTTGCTAACTCTCTTTCTTCTCCTCATATACTTTAACCCATTTCTTTATTTTCCTTTTTCCCCCTTTTTTGTGTTTTATTTATTTTTTGTTTTCTCTCACACTATCTTCTCTGCTCCTGCTGGCTCATCCTGAACCTCCTCGTTTAGTACAAGAAGCGGAACAGGAAGAAGTTAAAGCCGTAGCAGAGGTTCAGGCCCCTCGCTCGGCTAAAAAAACCAAGCTGCCTACCTCCACTCCTCAGACTGGCAGCGCCAAGAAGGAGAAAAAGGGCAAGCACAAAGGTCAGCTGAGCAGCCTGTTAACCATCAGGCTCAGCATGTGCACGAAAAGCTGTGTGTGTGTATGTTTGTGTCTGTGTGTGTGTGTATAGGACATTTGTGCCATCCAGTGATTCAGTTTGTGTCATGATCAGCGTTACCTGTGCTGTACAGAAGAAACGATTGAGGATGTCCTCATGCATTACAACAACATGCAAAAATATTTGTTCATTTGGCAAAATCATTTTGTCGTCATGTAAAACGTAAAGACTACAGTGTTACAAAAAATATATATTTCAAGTAAATGCTGTTCTTTTGAACTTTGTTCATCAAAGAATCTTTAAAAAATCATGGTTTCATGATTTCAACTAAAATATTAAGCAGAATTATTAATATTAAGATTGATTTCATGATTTATGATAATAAGAAATGTTTCCTGAACACCAAATCAGTATATTCGAATAATGTCTGTGACACTGAAGACTGGAATAATGACTACTGAAAATTAAGCATTGTCCTTACAGGAATAAATTGCATTTTAAAATGTAATAAAATAGAAAACAAATATTTTACATTTTAACAATTTTTATTACAATTTTTACTCTATTTTTGATCAAATAAATGCATCCTTGTTGAGCATAAAAGACTTCTTTCAACGTATTTAAACAGTAGTTTTTTTTTTCATGGTTTTCACATTGATTTCAAAACTGCCTTGTTGCCATGCACATAAAGTATATGTGTCTTACCATGCAAGACAACAATGTCAGTTAGCATTTTTATTATTTTTAACATTGCTTAATTATTATACTACACTATGACAAAGTTTCAATATTTATTTAAAATCTACAAGTTTGAGTTAGAATAGCTCACACGACCTAGAGTATAAACACAACGAGTCTGTAAAAGCAAACTAGTTAGTTGATTTTCTAAGTAGGTAGTTCTAAGTAAGATCTAAGTAAGTAGTTTTCCTGTTCTGGGTGATCACATTAATGTCCCCACCAACCTTTGTAGTCCCAATTAGCCACTTGTTTGCAACCACCTTTCTCGAGACAAGTAAAAAACTTTTTTTTTTAAATCACTAGTGGTGTTATCTTGAATAAAATGTGCAAAGCTTGTGTTAGCCTCATGTATTGACTTCAGGACAATGGAACTGGAAGTGCAAAAAAAAATATTTCTGGGTTCTAGGCCTTATTCCTGCAGCACTATAATGTGAGAAGTGAAACTACTGTAAGCACTTCCTGTAAACATACAAATTTTTGGTAGTTTTGACTTTACCAAGCTAGGTTTGAAGGCTGCTTTCTTTAGTTTTACCAATTAGATTTTATATACACAACATTTATCTGGAAACGGTTATGGATGTGGTTTGGAAGAAAAAAAATACTGCAAAAAAACTGAAAGGATTTGAGCCAGATATGCCTAAAAAAAGAAAACCTTTTTTTTTTGCTGCATGTCTGAACACAGCTATTTAGTCACCTATTCTTCTTTTATTATGGTGCTGCTAGTCGTCTTCTGAGACTGCGACAACAGAACCATTATTATCTCCCCCACACTCTTGTAGCAGCCCTCGACACAGGTCATTGTGCTTTATCCACAAAATAACCTACACAAACAGATCTGTGACTCACAAATTATGATTTCAAATCAGAGATGCTATTTCTGGACCCAAAGCTGTGAAAGAATAAGCTGATGCAAACATATTGTTCATTTTATGGAGACTATTCTTGATTGATCAATATTCTCTGTCTCTCTGGCTTTTTCTCTGATGACTACTTACCTTGTTAGGGAGCCCCAATGTCTAAATGCAATACTGATTATCTCGTCAGAGCTAATTCTCTGACATTGTTCAGCAGATGAATTCCTGGAGGGGGAAAGAAGGGTCTCAGTAGCTATAATGGCTTGATTTGGCCTGGTTGGATGCATGGATGTATGGTAGCTATAATCTGGACGTTTGCATGTAGCTGTGCTTGACTGGGACAACATGTTCTTTCAATAATAGTGACTATTGGATGAAATACAAAACCCAGGATGACATAAGAGCAACTATTAATAGACAATAGCAAATTATTGAAACCCCAAGGGCACTTAAAAGCATCAGCACATGCAAAGTTAATTGAGAAGGTTATATATTGCATACACTACCAGTCACAAGTTTGGAATAATTCAGATTTTTTGTGTTTTTAAAATAAGTCTCTTACACTTACCAAGGCTGTATTTAATTGATCAAAATACATATTAATATTGTAATATTAATAATTTATATTAATAGTAATAATGTGAAATATTTTTACAATTAAAAAATATTCAATTTGAATATATTTTAAAATGTAATTTATTCCTGTGGTAGCAAAGCGGAGTCATCAGCAGCCATTACGCCACTCTTTAGTGTCACATGATACTTTAAAAATCCTTCTAATATGTTGATTTCTTTAAAAAAAAAAACTTTTATTCAGATCAAATGGATCAAAAGTGAATGTAAAGACAAAAGATTTCTATTTCAAATTAATGCTCTTCTTTTGATCGTTCTATTCATCAAAGAATCCTGAAAATGTTTTATCATTTCCACAAAAATATTAAGCAGCAAAAGCTGTTTTCAACATTGATAATAACTGAGCAAAACAAAGCAGCATATTAGAATGATTTCTGAAGGATCATGTGACCCTGAAGACTGGAGTAATGACTTGTCATCAGAGGAATATATTACATTTTTAAATATTTACACTATATTACTGTTTTTACTGTATTTTTGATCAAATAATTGCAGCCTTGATGAGCATAAGAACCTTTTAAAAAAACATTTAAAAAATCTAAATAATCCGGTAGTGTTTGTGAGACAAAGGACCATCAATTAGACTCTAATACTGCAGAGGAATTCATTCACTCATTAAGATTTGAATGTCTGTCTCCATATTTCCATGAATGCCATTATTTTTGTGATACCAAAGTGGATACAGGATGGCTGACATAGTTGAGTTAACAGTGTTACTGTGTTGTGGTGGTACCACAGGAATTGATGGGCCCGCTGCCTTCCAGGATGAGGGTCAGGAGCTGGGCAACCAGATTCAGATCCTGACAGTGGGCCACTCACCTGCCCAGGAGAGCGAGGCAGAGTGCCAGGGTGAGGCAGTGGGCAGCACACAGTCACAGGGCAAACAGGACCTACGGGTCACCATGCTGAAGAAAGGTACACCAGCGATAGTCCTCAGGGTGACGCAAACGAGAGTGGAGAGAGAGACAGATGGAGAGAACGCTACCATCATGACGATTGAGACATGCAGATTTGCAGATTGTTCCTCAGTATTATTACTGATCGCCTAACATGCAACACAACATCATGTTCCTATAAAAACATCATCTGGTGACTAACACTTTGAGATCTATTTATATGCTATAGCACTTAGATTCAGTATCTGCCACTCTCTCCTCCTTCTGCGACATATTTGGATTAGATCATGTCTTTACTGTCTGCATGACTTATTATTAGAGCCAGTATGATTCGATCTGGACTATGGACAATCATTTTGTCCTTTGCATCTCTGTTTCTGCTAATTTGTAGAACTTACCAAGAGTGAAGAGTTTTTTTTAATCCAAATGTTTGTTATGTCTCTGATGCCCTTTTGGCATCAGAGTGCAGTTATTTGCAGTGTTATTTGCACTGCATAATGCCTCTATGTTTGCTTTATGCCTGCTGCTGTTCTCTCCTCATGTTCTGCTATCGACACGCTATTTGATTAGCTCCTCAATATTTTTTCTTGTTCAAAGGAATCTCCAGTAGCATGAACTTTGATGAAGAAGAGGATGAAGATGATTTGGTCAGCTCAAGTTCATCTCAGCTCAACAGCAACACAAGACCTGGATCTGCCACCAGCAAAAAGTCCAGCAAGGTAGACTGTTTTCTCTGCTTTTTTAAAAGTGGTTAATTAATTTAAGTAAATTAAAGGGTTAGTTCACCCAAAAATTAAAATTAGGCTGCGTTTTACTCACCCCCGAAGCATTCTAGGTGTATATGACTTTCTTCTTTCAGACGAATCCAGTCTGAGTTATTTTAAAAATTGTCTTTGATCTTTCAAGCTGTTTAATGCCACTCAGCAGGTGTTCGCCCATCCATAAAAAGAGGGGGAAGTCGTGGCCTAATGGTTAGAGAGTCGGACTCGTAACCCAAAGGTTGCAGGTTCGAGTCTCGTACCGGCAGGGATTGTAGGTGGGGGAGTGAATGTACAGCACTCTCTTCCACCTTCAATACCACGACTGAGGTGCCCTTGAGCAAGGCACTGAACACCCAACTGCTCCCCGTGTGCTGCAGCATAAATGGCTGCCCACTGCTGGTGTGTGTGTTCACTGCTGTGTGTGTGTGCACTTTGGATGGGTTAAATGCAGAGCACTAATTCCAAGTATGGGCCACATGTCACGTCACTTTCACAAAAAAGTGTCTCACAAGTTGGCCTTCTGTAGCGAATCGATGCGTTTTTGTAAGAAAAGTATCCATATTCAAAACGTAATAATCACTTGAATCTAGCTTACACTCACTGTTGTAAACAGAAGCAGTTCTGGGGGAATGACGTATGAGGTCAGTGTTGCGCATGCGCCAGTGAGTCTCGTGAAAACCAACGTTTGTTTACAGGATCAAAGGAAGCAATGTTTCCTTACTTTAGCAAAGGAAAACCAGTCTCCTCTTGGCTTATATCGAAATCCTCTGACATTCTTCTTTACAAATCCTCGTTTTGTACTTCTAATTCTTGACCGTTGTTTTGTTTTGATCTCTCCACTGCGTTTCCACGTGCGTCACTTCTGACCTCATACGTCATTCCCCCAGAACTGCTTCTGTTTACAACAGTGAGTGTAAGCTAGATTCAAGTGATTATTACGTTTTGAATATGGATATTTTTCTTACAAAAACGCATCGATTCGCTACAGAAGGCCTTTGCTCACCCCCCGGAGCCATGTGAGACACTTTTTTTTTATGGATAGGCGATTTTTATTTAAGTTCTTTTGGACTGAAGCAATGCAACACCTGCTGAGTGGCATTAAACAGCTTGAAAGATCAAAGACAATTTTTAATATAACTCCGACTGGATTCGTCTGAAAGAAGAAAGTCATATACACCTAGGATGCCTCGGGGTGAGTAAAACGCAGCCTAATTTTCATTTTTGGGTGAACTAACACTTTAAGTTGATTTTTCAGTTTTACACAATGTGAGCAATAGATGCAGACGGCATGGAAGCATGGAGGGAAACAAATCATGGTTACCATAGCTACCTATTCATTGCTAAGAGGAGACTGAAGATAAATATTTATTATACCATTTAAAAGTTTGGTGTCATTTATTTTTTTATTTTTTTTAAAGCATCATTATTATGGTACTATATACAAGTTATGATAGGTCATGCTTAATATGTAAAACTCTTTTTACAGTATGTACCAGAGGGTCACTGTTCTGTCACTCTGTACACCAAGGGGTCCTTGGCCTGCAAAAGGTTAAAGATCCGTGGATTAGATGCAGTTCAGCACCAAAAAGATTCTGACTTAACCACCACACCCACAGTATATAATGCATTGTTGATTGAATTTATATAATTTTTGTTGATTCCCCAACTAGCAGTTTTGCATAGTGAAGGTCATTCCTTGTCCATTGCTGTCTAAACTGAAGCATGACTGCTATTTTGAGCAGTATATGTGCGTTAGCTCCAAATGTGAACTCCTCTGTGTCCAGTTATTTTACATGTACAATGCTGACACAAGCAGTCTTTGTATTGTCATGCTAGGATGTATTCTCTTGTGTCTATCTTGGCACAAACCCTGCAATGCTGGAAATGGAGGGTCAGAGTCCTGTTGTTTCCTATGGCAACAGTGAAATGATTACTTTCTTAAAATAACTTGATGGAAACCGTGCATGTTTGAAGCCCCTGCTCTTACCACTGTCACTGGTGATCACATTGTGCAGTGTTTTGTAGAAAATAAAAATGTATTACTAAGAAAAATGTATTAGTAGATAAGTCAAATAGGGAGAATACCTGCAGTGTTATGCAGTGTGGCTGTAATATATTCTGAAGATTCTGAACATTTTTATGCTTTTATTAATTGAGAGACTACATGGACATTTTAAAAATGTATTTATTTGTCACACTGCAGAAAAAAATTATAAAGAGAAATGCATTAAACTAAAATCTGTAAACTTTAAAGAAATGGTGACCACTTACAGCATCCTTATCTCATAATTTTCTCTTTTGCATATACATATATCATATATATATATTTACCTAAAATATTGATGTTGGAAAAAACAATTGTGCATGTTATTTGTCTTTTATCCAAGTTATTCTAGTAAACTAAAGTCATGGAGTCCAAATTTATTTATTTATTTGGTTGTATAGTGGCTCATCCATGTCTCTTGGGCCTGACCCTGCTAACGTCACTGGGCTGCTTTGCTGCTCTTTAACATTTCAGTTTTAATCCAGCTGCTTGCATTTCAGACCACAGGGACATTTGATTCATTTACACTGGGGTCCAAATGTCTGAGTGCACTAGTGAAAATGCTTGTATTATGCAGTCTGTACAATGGAGTTGGGAGTTCATATCACATTTTACATTATCTCTTTATTTTACATTTTGTGAAATTTGTTGTTGTTTTCCAGGTTTAAATATAACAAATGTCTTCATTTTCAGTGGGGGTTCAGATGTTTATTTATTTATTAGAATACAGTTTTACCACATTTAGCATTAACCCCCTCCTCCCCTAGGTTTACATTAAAAATAAAACAAAAATCGCAAATGAGGTCTCGGACCTCAGATTTATTTATTTATTTATCATTTTTTCCATTGTAACTGTGTTCCATTATAACTGTGACATTGTAACATTGTGTTCTACTTTTTTCAGGTTTAAAAAAACCTACATTTACAATAAGATCTTTATTTATCTATTTATTTACCCAGAAGTTTACATATTTTTCTTATTGTACAGTAACTTATCTTTGATTTACAAAATGTCTTACAAAAATCAGCTTTTTTCTAATGTCTCTGGCTTTTGGATTAATTAATTTATTGTTTGTTTATTTGTTGAATGTTTATATATGAATGTGGTTGTGAATTTGTAATAATCAAAATGTACACTTCTTTTAACATAAATTTATAATTGACTAGGATCAATCTGTATCTGCCTAATCAATGTGACAGGAGGCGACCTCAGCTTCCACCCCATTGGCCAATGAACCATCCATCGACCTAGATGACCTAGAGGAGTTCATTCTCAGACCCGCACCCCAAGGAGTGACTGTGAAATGCAGGATCACACGGGATAAGAAGGGCATGGACAGGGGCATGTACCCCACCTACTACCTCCATCTGGAGAGAGAGGATGGCAAGAAGGTCAGACACATCAAAACTGATTATTTCCATGTTTTTCTAAAGAGTTTTGCCTTATTTGGAAGTCATCATTGTTGTGCACCAGCAATCAAGCCCAATCAGTGACACTCCATTCCTCCAATTTGCCAAAGGGCTTGAAATGATTGATGCTGATGAAAGGAACCAACTTTAACCTGAAGGGAGATTTAGCTAAATGACAACTGAACATAATATTGCTGCGCTTGGCAAATGCTTATCCTAAAAATATCAGGACTAAATCATAAATCATATGTTAAAAACAATGTGTTATAGCCATCTTATTTACCTAATAGAATAATACATATAGCCAACTTCCCTGTATGTATCTGTATGGGTTTCATAGTTGTTTATGCCATTTCTCAAAACAAAATATGGAAATACTGTCTCTGATTGTTTATGTCTCAATCGCTATCAGATGTTTTTGATGTCAGTTTTGTGCTGCTGTTTCGGTGTCCAATTAAATTCTGTTATACATTAGATTTTCCTTTTAGCTGGGAGGAAGAGAAAGAAGAGCAAAACATCCAATTACCTCATCTCCATCGACCCTACTGACCTATCACGAGGCGGCGAGAGCTTTATTGGCAAACTGAGGTACATTTAAAGATGATTCATTGTGTTGTGTGATTCATAAGGTAGCGTAACTTAAATCTATGCTGCTCTTAGAGACAAGAGACATGTGTCTCTTTCTAAACATTCAAGAGGGACCTTTAATGAGTCTGTGTGCATGTGTGCACTGCTGAACCTATTTAAAACTGTAATTAGGTTCATTGCTGGTGTGCAGGAGTGTCCCCATTCATATGAGGAGAAAGCAACTGTGTGCATTCTAATGTCTGAGTCTCATTACAGCACATATAAAAACATACATTTTTGATATTAAAAATGATCATCTTTAAGCTTTGTGTGCTACTTGGTTTACAAGCCAATGGACAATAGTAATTTTAGAACAATATTAACCTTAAAATGTAATTAATGTTGTATAATTAAAATCTGTAGTAGAATTTATTGAACATTTAATTTGTACTTTTAATACAATTCTTTTGTAAAAGAATGTTAAGTACATATAGTAAATTATATATTATATCTGGAGATATACACTGGCCTCAAAATGTATTTGGACACTTGTAAGCCACAATTAGAAATGTATAACATAATTGCATTATTTAGAAAATATCAAAACGTGTCATTTATTTGAAAGAAATATATCACAAATACACGTTTCAGTAAAAACATTTTACAAAATTAAGTTTGTTAGGTTTCAGTATATGACAGTAAATATATAGTTTAAAATAGAGATACAAAGTCTAACTGTCCAACATTGCGGAACATGTTCATTTGATGAACTACAACTGGTGGTTATTCTGCTAGTGTGATTGTGAGGGAAATTGACTTCATACATCCTTCTAAAATTACCTGTTTAAAAATAATTGAAAACGTGTTTCAGAAAAGTGATGTTAGTTCTGAGAAAAGCTCTAGCATGACTTGCTTGCCAAAGCCACTCAGTTTGATATTTTGTATCTCATGCAATGAAAATCAGATATTTTAAATAGTGTTTTTAGTGTCCAAAAGTGTCCAAACACTACATATTCCAGAGATGGATTTATTTTAGAAGCCACACAGAGAAGTACCTGTTTGTTTTGTCTGTATTCTCATCCCTGTATTCTCTCTTTCGTGAATGCAGCGGATTACATTGTGATGCAGTTTGGTCGTGTAGCAGAGGATGTCTTTACAATGGACTACAACTACCCCATGTGTGCCCTGCAGGCGTTTGCTATTGCTCTGTCCAGTTTTGACAGCAAGCTAGCCTGTGAGTAGCCATCTCTCTCTGCCAGCCACAAGCACGACAGGACCCAGCCAGACTGCTTTACAGTCCCAATCACTGAGTAAAGGGCTGCGGTGAACTCCCAAGCAGCAGGGTCCCTCTCTCAAGATCCTCCTTTGGAGGCATGAATGCGTATCGAGTATGTTTCTTTGTGTGAATGTGCGTGAGCAAGGTGACATTTCTGCTTTTTCAAAAAGGGCATCACAGTTGGGGGAAAGCACAAAGACTTCAAAGCTCAAATGCGGGAGATTATCAGAAGAGGATGCATTCGTTTGAATCGACAGTCAAAAATATCCTACTCACTTTCTTTACTTAATCGTCAAGCTAAAACTAACCTTTTGCTAATGTTAAAATAAGGATCTTTTACAGTAGTACTTGTGTCCCTAAGATTAAAAACAAAAATCATTTTTCCATGGTCATAATTTTAAAAGAATTAATGTTCACTAACCAATCAATTATGATTTTTCACAAGAAATATAACATGTAGCTGTGATATAACAGTTTGGATATTTGATTTAATGCACTTTTGTAAAATGACTTTCATATGTGACATTTCTTCAGTTATACATGTCACTTGTTTCATACATGTCTTTTAAATATGTAATGTATCAATTCATGCTTCACAAGAACTCCAAAGCCAGTATGAAGTATGACAGACTAACATATTTATCCACTATTTATGTATTTATAGATTTCCATACCATCTGCTGCTTGTGTCTTACCCCGTGCCCATAATTCATGCTTCAAGCACAAAGCTTGACCAAGGTGCCTTCGCATTCGAGCTTTTGGTGTGGATTTCTTAAAAATCAACTGATGAATGTGTGACATTTGCACAAAATAGACATAATCATTATCACTTCTGCAAACAGTTTAGCTACAGTTTTTAAGGGAACATGAGACTCAAAAATGACTTTTATATTATTAGAACAAACCAAAATGAATGGTTCACCAAATCCAGGTCCACACCAGTAGCTCTAGTGTGAAAGCCCCTGAAGTCCTACATGGTGGATGAAGTGTGTAGTAAGTCATTTTATGTGAGGGTCAATATCAGGGTAAGTACATTATCATCTCATACTGACCCACTACATTTGTAGGGTAATGTACTGGGCACTTTATTCAGATATTAATGGTTGAAAGCTGTAAATATTGTGCCTTTGGACAAAACACTTGTGATGCTCGAAGTTGGTGAGATGCTACATTGTTTTCTTAAGCCAGTGTTGTTTATCATGCAGTTAATTTTAAGCTTCTGCCTTTTTTCTTGAGAACAATGCATATAGCATTTTAAGTAAAAAACAAACAAACAAACAATAACAACTAATATTTAGAATGTTAATCCAGGATAAAGAGATATTTGCTGCAAATGTCATACCATTTTTGTTACTAATCTTTTTGTCATAGAAATGTGGCTTCAGATATCACATTTTGAAATATATCTTTTCCCCCAGAAAAGTATTTTTAATATTTTTTTAAGGAAAAATTATAAAACATATATTAAATTCTTTGGCAAAATTGCAAAGAAATCTGTGTAAGGTATCAAAGTTTTTTTTATTCTGCTTGGTTTCTGTTCCTCTTCGTTTTCACCTGGGTACTCGAGTTTCTCATCATCCTCATCAATACTTTTAGGAAGACAGGGCTGGTCTTCTCTAATCTCGTCTTCTTCCTCCTCCTCCTCTTCCTCCTCCTCCTCCTCCTCCTCCTCCTCTTCATATTCCTCTTCTTCTTTGTCCTCTTCATTTTCTCCTTCATTATTCTCCACTTTCACCTCCTCATTAGTACACACATCATCAGGCTCATCCTCTTCCTCCTCTTCTTCCTTCTCCATTCTCTCAGCAAGCTCCTCTGCTGTGAGTATGACTTGGTCTGGTTCTTCAAGTATAACACTAGGCAATCTGCGTCTGCGGGAGGTCATGTCATACTCTGGGTAGGTCTCCTCTGGATAGCCTTGGGAAGCAGTGAATAAAATTTAATTCAAGAAACAAAAAACAACAGCGGACCCAATACAAAGCCTTGAAGTATACCTTCCCAGTCTGCAGTGTAGGGGGCCTCCTCGGCCTCCTCCTCTGGTGAAGCTTCCTCTCGCAACTGTCTCTCCCGCATCATTTGGGTGATCTCCTTCAACTGTTTGAGCTTTCTCTCCTCACGCTTCCGTGTGCCTCTGCGTGACCTGAAGTCAGAACAAGTGGTGAGTCAGAAACTACTTTAATACAAGTAACATATCACAATCACTGCAAAAACCACATACACATTTCTTGCTATAATTATGAAGCTGCAAAACAAATATACCACTGTTGCTCATTATTTTAAAAAGTAATTAAAACTTGTCTTAACTAATTACATACTAAAAATAGAAAAGGAAACAAATACATTTCCTCAGAAGAATATGGATCTATGTTCTGTGAATGTAAAAAAATATATATATACATTGTATTTGGCAGATCCTTTTATCCAAAGCGACTTACACTGCTCTAGGTATGCATTTTAGCAGTTAATGCATTTCCTGGAATTCATAATGCTGTGAACTAGCACATTTCCTTTTTAAAATGGATTCCATTCGAAGTTGCATGCAGATCATGTCAGTGCTCTGTCAGCTCTTTGATCAGTAAGATACTGGATGGTGCAAGGAGAGAAATATGATCTGATTACCTGGCAGATGGGTGGACAACTTTAGATAGTCTCTTTTCTCTGCCTTTTTCACTCATTCTGGCCTGCATCTGCACCAGCTGACAAGTAGCTGCCAGGGAGACAATTGAATGAGGTTTAGAATCACATAATATACAGAGATTCACTCAAACATGTGGCCGCCACACTTTGTAGTTTCATTTAAATCATAAATTCATTTAAATAGCAAAATTGTAAGAATAGTTTGAGCTTTTCATACACATGCTGTACAGGGAGTAAGTGCGGTACTGATGCTCTGTCAGTTGCCTCCTCCACCCTTTGGCATCCATTTGTTGAATAGAGCTAAACCTCTTACTACTGATCCAAAAGATCAGTTAATTGGTATTAGGAGTAGCTAGGCTTATAAACCATTACTTCTGATTGTTAATCCGGGTTGAACAAAAGGGAGAGAACAAAGCTTGCCAGGTCTTGGACAGGATCTTAATCTACCTTATCTGGAGTTGCATGTGGGTTAGCTACTGAAATGCTGAGAATGCATGCAATAAGAGTAAAACAGAAATGTGATTTTAAAAAAGGTCACAATCTGACAATATCACGCCACTAAGATGAGCATCATTATTAGGTACATAATGTTGTCCAACTAGGGTTGATGTATATGCAAACTCACGCATCTCTTCAAATGTGTATTCTGACTGCAGCATAGGGAATCTGCACCCTTGTCGATGAGGTTTGTCCTTAGAGGTCAGCTGTTGAAAGATCAGAGTAAGCATAACTGATTCAGCTACTGATAGCATATATATATATATATATATATATATATATGTGTGTGTGTGTGTGTGTGTGTGTGTGTGTGTACTTATACACACAACCACATTAAAAACCAATGGCAATAAAATACTTTTTTTTTTTTTATTATTACAGCAGATGTAACCCCACCATTAAAAAGTTTGGGGTCAGAATTTTTTTTGAAGAAATTAATTATTTTCTTCAGCTAGGATATTTTAAATTGATCAGAGGCGACAGTAAAGACATTTCTGGACTGATTTCTGAAAGATCATGTGACCCTGAAGATTGTAACAATTGCTGCTGAAAATTCAGCTTTGCCATCACAGGAATTAATTACATTTTAAAATACATTAAAATACAAAACAGTTCTTTTAAACATTTCACAATATTACTGTTTTTTTGTTGTTGTTTTTTTATCAAATAAATGCAACCTTGTAAGAATAAGAGACTTCTTTCAAAAACATTAAAAATCTCACTGACCCCAAACTTTTGAACATTTCTGTATATATTAAAGCACCTGTTAGATCTTTTCTCTAGGAGAATAATTCTTACAGGAGAGCTGCTGAACGGAGCCGTTTTCCAAATAGCTTCTGATAAGACTCACTTTAAAGAACAAGTAGATGATATAAAGGAAAATCCCAAAGCCATAGACGGGGATGACCTGGCCCAGGAGATTCGGCTTGCCAACACCTTTGGCTCTGGCAATGGCCTCTGGGCTGTAATGCTTGATGTAATGAGATTCTGTATCCCAGTGATCATGATCTTCAGAGAATGAATGTCTGTGTCGTGGGGGAGGAAAATGTCCTGGTCCAACTTCAAAAATAAATACAATTATTTTATAGAGACTGCACTAAAAAGAGCAATTTCTAGTCAATTTTTCTGTGGTTATCAAAAATATTAATGACAAAAATAAACAGAACTAAACTAAATGACAATGAAAGCTCCTTATAATGTTTTAATGATGTTACTGTGTTTTGCTTTTTTTAAGATGTAGGAATAAATAAGGATAGATTTGTTTTGGAAATGAATGTGATCCTCACATTATGAATCCACACACGGGGAGCTGGTAGAGGTTAACAGGGGACCTGAGCACAGAGATCACAGGGATGGTCAAATCAGCACTGACCTTACTGAAACACTAAATGAAGGGATGATGAAGGATTACATTTTTGTCTCATCTTACCCTTCGACTGCGCTGTTTCTTTCTTCACTCTGGGTAAAAATAATTTGGGTAGAAATAAAGACATACAGAGGACGATGCAAGAAATCAAGGTGATCTTCTGACTTGTTGAAACAGCCATATCGATACGACAGAGAAAGTCGATGCTGTAGAACAAACGGTGACAAGCGTCACGACATCACTTTTACGAAATTTCCTGTTGATTCGCTGAAGCGGATATGACTGGAAACATTAATCCGCCTTCTGGTTCTGGGTGAGATTAGACTGACGGCAATGCAGATTTAATGAGCATGTGGGAAAAAAACATTTCCAGTTTTCAAAGAAATGGAGGCAATTGGAAAAGTGAATTGGTCCTTAAGTTCGGCATGGTGATATAATGTGAATGTACATGAGTGCTGATATTTCCTGCAGAGCTCAAACTCTTTCTCCAGGCCAGCTCATCTTTTATCTGTCTACTGAGCTGCTCTGTTATCAACGTTTTAACTGCCTAATTATTCTCCATTAGGCTCAATTTAAGTACAATGTTTGCACTGCTACAAAAGTCGCCTCATAGAAACCCACAAGGCCTGTGCTGTGTGCAGAAAGCTGTTTTTATGTTCTCCAAAAAAAAAGTTTTTTCTGCTTTTCTATGAAACTTGCATATATCGTTTCTGCTAAAAGCAAAATATGCCATTGACTCTTATGAAACGCTTGTGTCCCTTCCTGTCGTGTGAGCGATAAATTCACATACATGGCAATCTACACACTTTCACCAAACAAAATTGCTTTCAGAAATAGCAATCGTTTTCTTTCTCTATATTCATACAAATGATTTGTTGTGCAATGTCACCTTTCTCAGTACTGGCAGACCAGGTTCGCATCTGACCCCTTTTCGCTCTCTCTCTCTTTCTGGCTCTGTCTAAATCAGTCAATTTATTTCCAAATTGCAAGTTGAGTGTGGGAGCAAGGGCTTCTTTCACTGCTGGGATGAAATATTAAATCAATGCACACTCCCATATATCGAGTGGGCTTTAATTTTTATTTAATATTGATGGGAATGAAGCTGACTTTGAGTGTCGTACTGTTACAAATCCTGGGGCCTTTATATTCATGGAGGAGAGACAGAGATGGTGAGTGAATGTGCTGGAATAATGCAACCTGTGGAAGCTTGGCTGTGTGAGCCAGGCCTTGAGACACCAGCCAGTTGTCATCCTCCATTTGTTAACATGAGGAGAGCAGGACGGCACATATGAGACTTTGAATAATCTTGAACTGAGATATTATCAGGTGGATGCTCAAAAGTAGATTCATAATCTGAGTTCAAATGCTTGCCAGACCTTCAACCTGTTGTCATACTGTGGAATGGGGAAGTGATGTCGGACATGTGTGTGAGCGTGTAAGAATAAAGCATAACTGGACAGTATTGTGAATGTGTTGATGATGTATTATGCGGTGAAGAGAAGCGGCAGATGGGCATCCTGATTAAGGCTGAAAAGCAGTGTAAATAGTAATCTGATCTGTAGCTGCGCCGTGCGTGTGGGAAAGCAGCTTGGGCCTTGGCCAGAGAGCACTGATGTCCAGCACAAGATGTCACATTACTCGCTACTGCGCCCCTGACTCAGCCAGAGTTTAAGGGGTCAAAGGTCAAAATGCATGAATGATTTTTGGCAAATGTTTTGAACAGTATGTAAACTATATTAGAATATTGTTTTGTGAATTTTATCCTCCAAACAGTTTATCCTCAGATAAACAAGTCAACACAATAAAACCAATCTGGCATACAGATGAAGCCAGCTTTATCTATATTATTAAATTACAGGAAGGTTGAAATAGATAGACAGACAGACAGACAGTTGTGAATGTGTTGATGATGTATTATGCGGTGAAGAGAAGCGGCAGATGGGCATCCTGATTAAGGCTGAAAAGCAGTGTAAATAGTAATCTGATCTGTAGCTGCGCCGTGCGTGTGGGAAAGCAGCTTGGGCCTTGGCCAGAGAGCACTGATGTCCAGCACAAGATGTCACATTACTCGCTACTGCGCCCCTGACTCAGCCAGAGTTTAAGGGGTCAAAGGTCAAAATGCATGAATGATTTTTGGCAAATGTTTTGAACAGTATGTAAACTATATTAGAATATTGTTTTGTGAATTTTATCCTCCAAACAGTTTATCCTCAGTTAAACAAGTCAACACAATAAAACCAATCTGGCATACAGATGAAGCCAGCTTTATCTATATTATTAAATTACAGGAAGGTTGAAATAGATAGACAGACAGACAGACAGACAGACAGATAGACAGATAGATAGATAGATAGATAGATATGTGAATTGAACTTCAATATCACAGGAAAAAATATATATATGAAATACTGAAACCTTTATAAATATTATAAATGATAAATATTAATACATTATAAATATATTTACTGTCATTTTTGGTTAATTTAATGTGTCCTTGCTAAATAAAATTAGTAATTTCTTAAAAAAAAAAAAACTCACCCCAAACTTTTGAACTGTAGGGTATATATGACATTAGAATACATGCCTATACAGTAATTAATTTTCAAAACCTAACCTGAGTAACATTCACTGGAGTAAAAATTGTGACATCTAGTCCCTGTCTCCACTATATTGCCCCTGTGGATTTCAGATAATTGCAAGTGCATGCATACACTATAAAAATACTATAAACAAATAATTACCACAGCTAGTGTTGCATTTGCATTGAAATGGTTGTTTATGAAGCCCATGCCAGTTTTCATTAAACTGCTCAGTGACAAACTATATGGCACAAATGTCAGTGTATTAAAACTGGTGCAAATTCCTTCCAGCAAGGTAATTACATGTGCCCGACCTATCGTTTTAAAGGTAAGCCATAACCGATTGTGTTTTCTTTTCACACAGGAAACAAGCAATTGATTGGCTTTGTTTGACATCTAGAGTTGTTTGCCAGTGCATTGCATCTTTGTTGTGGACGCTGTATGTGGTGGAGAGAGTGTGGGCAGACGGAGAGGGCCGCTGTGAGGGGGGAGAAGGTGCAGAGGTTCAGCTGATAGAAGCTTTGATCTCAAACAGCAGGGGGGAAATGACATTATTTAAGGTGCCTCACCAGCACGACACTGCTCTCGCTGTGCTGTGAAATTGCAGGTTCAGTTGCACATGGCTGAAATGCCAGACACACACACACACTTGTGCATAAACACACAGACAAGCATATTAGCAGAAACCTACCCACAAGCGAGTCGGCATCACAAGCACACACATGCCTCAGTAATGTAAATGCTTCAGATACATGTGGACTCTTCAAGTGTGACAGAAAGCTGTTTGTTTTTACATGGGTTGACTCAGAGTGGATGTCTGGCCATGAATTTAGTTTGGGATAGACAAAATAGAATTCAGACTTGAGATAAACTTTAGATTAGATATTTATGTTTTTTTACACTGTATAATAATGACAAGCATAACATCAGCATATATAATCATACAGTACCTATATACATAACAATAATCAACCCCATTATTTCAGAGGTGCATGAACAAAAATTTTCTTGAAAGACTCCATGAACTTGAAACAAACCAAATGATCATGGAATGGTATTTTCATATCCCATAATAAATGTTTCTTAATATAATGCATACAATGTTAAGCTCTTTCAAACTCTTTCTAAAACTTTCACAGTTTTAATTGATTTTTGTTTCATAGAAAATCATATTGTGTCAATATAACGCTTTATTTCCTTCCTAAAAGAAAAAAGCATTTTAGGAATAGCCTTTTTTTTATTGCATAACAAGAACATAACATACATACATAGAGGATCACAGTATTTTCTTTTAGGAATAGCATTTTTTTTATTGCAGAGAACGGGAACATACAGAAGAATAAGCATACATCACATAATATAAACCACAAAAATAAAATGGAATCAAAGCACTACATTTTTTTAAATAAAAATAAAGATAAGAGATCATGAAGAGATCAAAGGCAGAGCAAATCCTAACAGTCCTTATAGCTTTCTTATTAGTTGATACTGAAAATAATTTTCCATTTCTTTTAGGAAAACAGGTCTACATTCGCATTTGTGGATGTGAAATTTGCTTAGGAAAAAAATGTAATTAATAACAAAACAGATATTTTCGTTTGTGGGGTCTGAGTCATAATACCCAAATATAATGTTTTTCATATGTACTGAGAAGCCTGGCAAAATCTTACACTTGACAAACACACCAATATCATCCCAAAACTTCTGAGTGTAGTGACATGACCAAAATAAGTGTACCACAGTTTCTTCAGAATTCGAACAAAAAGAGCATGTTAGCTCAATGTCAGATTTAAATCTTTGTATAAACCTCTTTACAGGGTAGAACCTGTGTATGAGCTTAAAAGACATTTCTTTCACTTTGTTTGTGAGAAAGAATTTTTGCTGTAGAGACCAGATTTTTTTTCCAATAAAGGTTAACAAACAAATTTTTCCAAAAGGAAATACAGGGTAGAACCTGTGTATGAGCTTAAAAGACATTTCTTTCACTTTGTTTGTGAGAAAGAATTTTTGCTGTAGAGACCAGATTTTTTTTTTCCAATTAAGGTTAACAAACAAATTATTCCAAAAGGAAATCACAGGTGGAACAGAAATCAGATTCTTAAGAAATAAAGATCGTATTTTATAATTTTTGTTGGAATAGCCTTTAACTAGCAAGTCAGGTCCTTGATGACATCATCATGTAGGAAGTGACATAATTTTTGGTGTGAATACAACAGGCCAAAATGAGTAAGTATTAGCATTGATTTTTTTTATATATTTTTGCTTGTTTATCTTGCTCTTACATGTTACATCCTTAAAATAAAATTACAGAAATTGGCGTGATAACATCAAATGGTCAAAAAATGGGTACAATATAAAAGTTAAAACCAGCACGTAAGCGTAGTAATATTTCAACAGTGATTGTAAAACAGGAATAAAATGACCGCATATTTCTTTTCTAAGTTCAAAGGCACTCTTTCTGTTAACTGAATTTAAAGTAGCACAATACGAGTGGAGGGATACTTTAGTCAACAAAAAAGCTTGGTTGCTGCTTGTTGAAAAAAACAGCATATGCTGGTTAGGTATGTTTTGATGCTGGGATGCTGGTTTATGCTGGTCCTTTGCTGGTTTATGCTGGTCCTTTTGCTGGTTTATGCTGGTCCTTTGCCAGCACATGACCAGCATAAACCAGCAAAGGACCAGCAAAGGACAAGCTTAAACCAGCA